TGTGGAAAACTTGAGTGAAATCAAAGCTTAAACATTATTTTCTTCTCATCATTCTCTAAATGAAGCTTTTTAAATAAAGAGGTGCAGTTAATTCTATTATCTTTTGATTCACCAAGTTGCTAATTGTACTGACCACTGTGTGATGCTGTTCTTTAAAAATGAACCCTAAACATCACGGTCGTCACTGGCCTTCTCTCTTAAATGAGTTTCATGGAGGTGCTGTCTGAGATCCCAAGGCAGATATGACTGAGGCAGGACACAGTGAGACAGATAAACAAGTTTTCTTGATAACCTTGTTAAATATTTGGGATTCTGCACAGTGAAAGAAAAGCAAGTTCACTAAGAGAGAAGTGGTTTGCCACTCACTCTGAACAGGAGAGACACCAGAACCAATCTGGCTTGGATCTGTCTTCAGTGCTGCAGAATCTGAGGAAAGTAGCATGGGCCTGAATCGAGCTGGCACTTCTGTCTTTACTTTGCAAGGAAAAAAAAAAAAAAAAAGTGTGGCAAATCTGCCGTATGGAAAACCATTCCAGGCTGCAGAACTTCCTGAGACTCTTCTCTGAGAAAGAAACGTTTTGTTCAGAAAACAGGCATGTAAATGGGGTATTCCCATTGATTAACCTCATGCACCTAACAGAGCTGCCTCAGCTGGGAGGGCCAGACTTTGACTCTGTAGTTGATGAAGACAAATGAGCTCAATGAAGACTGACACAGAGCATGATTCAGAGCAGGAATCTAGCTTACGTGCTCTGAATCACACTTTCAAAAAAGCTGTCATCTTTCTCCCATGACTGAGCTGTAAACTTACTTTTCTTTCAACAATCTAGGAGAGTTCAAGCGAGGCAATAGGTAAACTGTCTTCTCTGAAATACTTTGTCCAATTTATGCTGAAAAAAGCATCCATATTTTTACTCTGTGATTTTGGCAGACAAACAAACAAAACCACTGTCCCTGAGTTTGAAGGATGCATGAAAGGACTCTGAAAGGCAAGTTGTCTGATAAAGCATCCCATGCAAAAAAATAATATGAAGACCAAATTTACTCAAACTAATTTAAATATCATATCGCAAGCAGCATCAGAAAAGTAAGTTGGTCTACTTAGCTTCAGAGCTTGGTTTGAACAAGAATCTTGCAATCATGATTCTTTTATCATCTCTGCATGAGGTTTTATGAGAGAGCTTTTACCAGTAACACTACTACTGTGTCTTCAGAAGTCAAAGAGAAAGTAAATGTTTCTGATTTTTATTTCCAGCGTTTGGGGCAATCAAAATTAGACTATTTAAGCAGCTAGTATCTGAATTGAAAATTTATAAGGATTTCAACACAGTTCTCCATTGGAAAGGACATTAGGCAACAGCTTATATTAGCTGATGTAGTAGCTACTAAATAAGGTAGCTCTGTGCTTCTGTCTGTCTTTCCCCTCCACACACTCTGTTGTATCATCCACATTTTTATTTCTCCTCTTCTGCTGAAAAGGAGCTGTGAGCCTGTGCAACCGGGCAGACAAAGAGCAAGGGAACTTAAAAGAGTTTAAGAGCCAACAGATCTGCAGTTAACGCCCTTGGTGACTAAAGTTTTGGTGTTGCTCCACATCACTCCCATGCTGGCCATGGCTGACAGGAAGGTTCCAGGAATATGAATATCTACCGAATCCATAAAAACAAGGCTCACCATCGGTCGGCAGCTCCCCACCTATTCCTCTGAGGGGAATAATTATTTTTAGCTGAAGCCATTTATTGGGAATATGATAAAACCTACAAAGAGCAGCCTACACTATTTGGATTTTGACTGTTTACAGGAGCTATTTTATTCCACTCAGCTGTTTCCACTGCTTAGGCCCACTGGAAACAGCGATTTCCCTCTTTATTCCCAAACACTAGTGCTTACATTAGCGCAGTTCAGCAACTCACAGCTTAAAATAGACAGCAACAATTTAAAAAAATCTCCACAAAGATGTAAGACCAAAGCTTGCAACTCCTATTCCACAGAAAACCACAGGCTTTCTACCCACCTGTGTCAATCTTTTTCTACACATACAGCGTCCTTCTCATTCAGCTGCTATGACATGTAACTGTGCACCGTTGTGTGCTTGTTAATAATTAATGATTAAGATCTTCAATTAGTTTTCACCAGCATTTTGGCTTAGAAACAACAGAACATAAATAATAATAACGAAACAAAACCCTGAGAGGAACGTTTCCTGAATGCTGTCACTGTAAGTATAACAAGCCTTGGCTTATCTCGAGGCCATAAGAAGTTAATGCTCCTCAGAAACACCTGAATGAAAAATTTCATTTTTGGGTAAGAATATCTTTAGAGGGAGAAATTAAAACCTCTCACTGGGGCAATTTTAAGCAAATTAGAAGTAGAGTTAGGCAATTGTTTCTGTAAGCATAGTGCGACATAATCCCTTTACGCTAAAACTGTCCCCAAGTAATTGCTACATTTATTATGTGCAGTTCTGAAGTTTTGCATCAAATCTGTTTTTCAAAGTTCAAGACCAAATACTGGCAAATGCTCAAGGCATCCCAGTTAAACCCGGAGCTGTGCATCTCCCTGCTCCGTCCCTCCGGCCAGCTGGCACGGTCCCTGCCCGGCCTGCTGAGGACAGCCTTGCACCTGGGGCTGGCAAAACCTCCCAAGGGAGGAAGGTGTCAGGGAGCTACAGGCCTCAGCGCGGGGCAGCTGTCAGCAAATTAGGAGACTGCAGCCGTTAGCACCCTTTCTTGCTTGTCCTTTTCTGCTGTATTTGCCCCCCAGCAGCCGTGGCCTGGCCCAGGCCCACCCGTGCTCCCTCACCCCTCTTTGCTTTGTCCCGCGTTTTTTACCTCACCTCACTCTTTCCTGCCAACAGGAGGTCACCAACATGATTTATTGTGGCGACAGCAGCTCCCCTGCGCTGTCAGGAGGACATCTCCAAAATGCTTTAAGGCTGTTGTGGATGCCGAGAGCACAGAAAGCTCAGGAGGATCTGCAGACCCAGGCAGCGTCCGCACGGGCGTCCCACCAGGTCGCCAGCAGAAGTCACCGGCTGCCGGGGGCGGCTGCTCTGCCCAGCAGGACGGAGGACGTAGCACAAAGCCGAACTGCACCCTTCATTGCTTCGCTCGGTTAGTAACTTTTCCAAATCCTGTCCTTTCAAACAACTGAGCCTGTCCATCCCCTTTAAGCTAGCGAAGAGGTGGACTGCTAAATCCCCTGAGTATCTGAGGCGAAGGGGGAAAACAAAGTCCGGGCGGTGGTAGTGAGAAGACATAGCTTCAGCATGGAGCCGAGGAGGAGGGAGAGAGCCTAACGATGCTCAGCAAGGGGATGGTGAACAGGAAGGATGGTGATTTTGGACTAGATGAGAGAGACAGCACTATGAAGGGAGATATAAAGAGCAAAGGGATAAACAGTTCAGCTGCAGGCCTACAGCAAGCAATTGGGAAGGAAACTGGTGGAAGGAAGAAAGTGAGCCAAAGCCAGAGGGGAGCAATAGAAGAAATACTTGAAATACTTATGACCTTTGGAAAATATTACCTTCCATACCTTTCATGGTTCCAGAAACTCCCCATTCCTCTGTGACACCAAATACTTACCCCAAAATACAGGTCGTGCCTTCTTTCACTAGCAAGTCTACAGGGAGGATGAGACCTCCTGCATTTCCTACAGCAGAAATTTCTGTAACAGAATAATATTTTTCAATTCTTCTGTTAAATTATGATGCCAGAGACTAGGATTTTTCCTTGTATCTCAACTTGCTTTTCAAAAGCTCTTTAAAGCAAAAAAAAAAAAAAAAAAGGACAATATTAATGCAAAAAAAAAAAAAATCCCCAACATCCCTGAAAAATATTCTTTATTCCAGTCAAAGACTCAACATTCAGTAAACCAGGTTTCTTTTGTGACCATAATTCTGCATTCTGATACAGGATTACTATTCAGACTGGATAATTATATGCCACATTTACACCAGATATTTTTCTTATTCAGTAGGAGGTTGAAGGTGTGGCAAAACAGACCAGCTAAAACAGAATCAGAAGCCACCTGTAAATGTGCCAGAACTGATATCAGAAAGTCATGCCAACTTGCAAAACCCTCCCCATTTTCATCAGAACTCATTTTCACAATGGAAAAAATAACAAAATATGTTATTTCAATTTGATGGCTTCATAGCCACACAATTTTGAACATTTTGAATGTTTATACAAAGAGCATCACATTCTTTCTTTCCCCTTTTTCTTCTCATAGATTTACTGTAAAGCAGAATTAATAAAGCAAGTGGAAGTCCTGGCAACAGAAGACTCTTGTTTTCATAACTGACTATCAAAATGCTAAGTAGAAAATCACCCTCTTAAACTTTTCATGCTATTGTATATCGAACAGATACAAATATGCAACCACACAGAAGCATTTTTTCTCCCAAAATTAGCGTTATTACTTTATTTGGTGATTCATTACAATCTGCAAATCCGATAGTAAAAAAAAAAAAAAAATAAACTAAGCATAATGTTAAAGCATTTTACAAGCAAAATACTTTACTGTTTCTTTTTCAATTTGCATAGGGTGGGATAAGTGTATTGGTTAAAGAATATAACGTACAGAAGAACAAAACCATTGTTCATCAGACTGTACTGAAGGGTGTTACGATCCTGTGAGTGAACAGTACTTAAACAGCTATAACCGTCAATGGAAAACCATACACTTCAACATTAACAAGGCTGCCTCCCCATGACAATGATGCATCATGAAGGCTGCAAGCCACTGGGCTTCTTCTCTTACATTGTAGATCATCCTACTTTAAAGAAATTAAAGAGTTAAACAAGCCAGAATGCATCTATCTATGCTCATTTCTTTTCTACTTGCACAAAGGCCAGTATGGAGAGAGGGAATTTTTAAAGTCAGCTTCTGAAACCACTTACAGTAACGTCTGTCTCATGTTTTCTGTCATGGAGCTAGCAAGCTTAGAGCTTCATCCACACATGTCTGTTTATTATTCCTGTGCATTCAGGTAAAAACCTGTACTTTTTCACTGTATAGCAACAAACTGCAAAGAGATCATGCTCCTTTCCCATTGCAACCACATCTCTTTTCCTCCAACTGTATAAATCTGGCTTTAAAGTCTCACAAAACTAAAAAATAGTTGATCTAGGTTGTAATAAAAAAAGAATATTAAATACCTTTGGTAAAAATAGATATATTTAACAAGTTTAGAAAAGCAAATAGTTATATTGTCAAAAGGAGAGTATAAAAATGTACATGATAAAAAGTAACAAACAAACAAAAAATCATCAGCCATAGTAGTAAGAAGAAAGGCGCTGTTCTTTTCAATGTTTGCCTCCTTAGCTCACGTTATTGTCCAGTCTTCTTTCTAAAAGGCAGGAGCTTTGCTAGAGCGTATGGAAAAATCCAGTCCTTCCTACCAGTATTAGACAAATTAATTCGGAACAAGCCAGTCTGTTTTAACACGAGTTTATACAACAGAGAATGCTTCGATTTAGAGTACATAGGAGTAGCTGAACACAGAAAGAAAGATTTCAGGTGTTTTCAACCAGAGGCCAGATGTACTGGAGCTGTAGAAATGAGACAGCCAGCAGGATCAAGTCTCCATGATGTGAGCCTTCTAACTTTATTTTTTACTCCTAAATTATAAATCCATGTATTGTCAAGAAAATTGTGGGGAACAAAAACAATACATGTATTTTAAATCCCTCATTGATGCCTTTCTCCCATCCTTTCACTGGGCCTCCAAACAGAGCTGTCACACAACATATAATCCCAGTTCGGCTTCTCCTCTTTTTAGAGCTCACTGTAAATCTTGAAGATGGAAGATCCCCAAAGCAAACAACTGAGATTACAGAAGGAGATAATGCACAAGCCCCATAATAGAATCAGCCATTGATTGAATGTGCTTTGAAAGAAAACAGCACAATTAAATCATGTTTATCCTTCAGTATTCCCTTTGCACACACAGTCACACTCCTCGTGGTGTTCCAAGGGCACATCTGTCAATGATTTATGCAATCCTCGGATGCCAATCCTTGGCTTCAGCTGAAGAACCTAAAGGAGAAGAGGCCAAGCATCAGGAAAACAGCAAGTGTTTCATCCCACACCTAGACTATGAGCTGGATCGCACTGGAAACTCACTGGATGACAGGAACTGTATTCAAAGAAATAGGCTTTCCTCAGCTGAATTTCTTCATTTATTCTACCCACTAATCATTATTTTTGCTTTTACTCAAGCCCTTTACAAAATTGGTGAAAACATGTTGAACAGATATGAGCTTTTGTCAAAGAAGAGATTCTTGCAGTTTCGTATTTCTACTTAATCTTATTTAAGAGACAATATTATAGTTAATCCAATGGGATTATCAGATAATTCTATAATGAAAAACCTTAGCTATAGATTTGTAACAATGGAAACGGATGGTTATCTGTTCCTTCATCAAGTTCACATCTACCACTAGAGAAAGCTGAACAAGGAGGCGTGGTTGTGATGTGTCTGAACTGCACCAGTAAACAAATACCTCAGGAATGACTTAGTAGTTCCACAGAAAAGTATTTTAATAAGAAAGATGATAGTTTTTTTATGTAACACATCATTAAGACGGTAAAAAAATATTTACTACAGGTGTAATACATACGATTTAAAAATATTAATATTGGTGCATTCCTATCGTAAAAATAAATTCTTTAATTGGCTTTCAGTATCTGCAAACGTGCAAAAGCAAAAATAGCATGTACCTCGTGGTATTTTTTGGTAACTTTTGTTGGTACACATTGGCACTCGTTGCAGCTCTGGTGACAACAGGCACAGTTTCCACCACAACGTTTAACCAGGAGACACAGCGGCCAGAAGATGGTGTCAGTTCGCTTCAGCTCCTCCCTCAGCGACACTGAGAAGTTGCGAGGAGTACAGCTGTACAGCCGCACCTCCTCCTTGAGGAGGTTGAGATCGACCACTGCAAAAAGACAAACAAACTGCTGCTTTTCTCATTCGTTATCCAACTTCATTGGTGCTAAACCAACGTCAGCAGTGCAGAACCCTGGATGAAAGTTCATTTTAGTGCAGGTGGTGCACGTTCAGTGCACAAGTATAATACTGCAGTTATATGAGTACCACGACACCCAAATGGAACGATCGTTGTATAGGAATATTCACCAATTAAGAATCCTGCAAAACTCCAAACACATTTTAAACTCATTTGCATAAAGCATTCAAACTTCTTCCCTGACGAAATTTCAATTATTGCTTCTTCTTCTCAAGGGTGATGTAAGTATAAGAAAGAATCAAACCATTTATAGCTAAGAGGAACTCGCTTCTAAGGACTAAGAACTTCAAGAAGTCATGTCATCATCAGGGAATACTGTACAGACAACAAATAAATGCACAAGTATGTACATCTCTATAACCATTAGTAGGTTCCATTTTTCCTGCTCCTGCTTAATAGCACCATATATATGAATCTCTGTTGCTTCTCTAGGTTTCATTTTCAGTTCAAGTGTCTTAAATAAAATACAGTTCTTCCTTGTAAGCACCTAGCTTGAAGTGCAAGTTGAAGATATTAATATTTAGCACCAGTTTCCATACAAACTGGTACCACTCTATCACACTAAATTTTCACTCTGCCAACAACTGAACAGCAAGCTCATTAAAAGATCTGAAACAGGGCAAGCTCCTTTAGGTTCACATTAGCTGCATAGCCAAGAAATAGCAGGCCTTGAAGGAGGCAGTTAAGAGTAAAAATATGGGACTGTTTTAGTGAAAAAATGAACTTTGGTGAAAAGCAATGTAATTTCATTTATTTGAGAAAAGCCAGACTACAATAATCATGATCTGGAATCTTTTGTCTGAACTGTTTCTCTCCAAACCTACCACTGTTGTGGAACAGAAGTAATATCTAATTCTCAGGAGTGCTCTATCTGATAAAAAAAAAAAAAAAAAAGAAAAAAAAAGAAAAAGAAAACCCTAGGATAATATGTCTTCTGAGATGACTGAAATAGAGGTCTTGAACAAAGTAGCAAAGAGGTTTAAACCAACTGGTTTTGCGTTAAATCAAGAAGAAACTAGGGGAAAAAATATCACAGTGCATTGATGTTACTTGACAAATACTTATAGTTATTACTAGCAGTTTGTAAATAAAAAGATACAAAATAAAGCTAAAATACGTTCCTGATCAGAATCACCCTCTAGAGAAATACCTTTTTTTTCCCCCTCTACTGACTATGTAAAGAGCCTCTAGAGGTCACTAAGGAGAACTTCAGCCTACCAAGGCAATACAATAGCTCTGAATTCCATTTAAACACATAAGAAATAAAGATAATTTAGAAGTTGCGTTTGTCTAGTAGAAATGCTCACTAGTACTGTCCCAGGAACAGATCTTTGGGCAGCAATTTCATTCCACATTTCTTCAGACATTTCTTTTGCAGACCATATCCATATACTGGCATCCATAAGTAAAGGTTTATGGTTGTGAAAGGCCAGTTAAACACACTGAAGCCTTTTCTCTGCTTGCACTTACAGTGAATGCCACGCTGGGGCACTTCATTCCATCACTATCAGGTTAACACAGGCTCCTAAATAAACAATCTGATTTTTAAAAGCGGGGAGTATGTAATAACTCCAATAAAGTTAATGATAGGACGCCAGCCTGCCTCCCACACTGCAAGAGCATTCCTTGGAGAAAGTTGAGAAGGCAGCAGAGGAAAAGAGAAACAAAACTTCCGGGGGAGAGATTCACTGTGAGAAATTAGAAATGATTTAAGCTCTTCTGATCAGCTAATAGCTCTAGGCTGAGTCATTTAGAGGGTGGACATGTCTACTTCCATTAATCAAGGACTGGATAGGAACGGAGTACTTCTTTCTCCTGTTACGTCTTCAAACATATAATAAGTGAACTGTCTGAATGAGGATAAAATGCCTAAAGCACACTGAGAGAAATGCTAGTTCTTCTAAGACTTTCTACTGGCATATTTCTACAGACTGACATGCCTGGTTGCAGTGAATCTCAAGAATCTAAGCTCATGAGTCCTAACACAACTGCTGCTCAGCCCTTCACCGTGAGAAGCTGCAGATGGCATCTGGGCACTGATGCCTCTTCCAGCAAGGCCACCGACCAGCGGGACAGAGATGCCGGTGCGGTGCTGTGCTGCTCCATTACCTCCTGCCCACTTGCAGCAGCAGAGGATTGCATCCATTTCCCAGTACCAGCTGTAGTTATAACACGGAGAAAAGGGCAACGCACTAAAGGGAGCAGCAAGCGTATTACAAATTTTATTACAACATCGGAATAAATTTGAACGGAAACCTTCAGACCTGCAGACCCAGATTTAAAAAAGGTTCTGTGGAAGAACGCGCAATGAGGTCTTAGCAGACATCTTTTCATGTCTAACAGGCTTCAGGAGAGATGAAAAATGTCATGTTTGGTTTCCATGCTTTACAATGTACCAAGGTATATTGCTATTATACCTCACAATGAACCCTTGCCCTACCTTATGTAATTCAATTTCATTAAAAGGTCTGTGGCAAATTTATCTAGTGCTTATATAATCACTTCTTTGAAGTGTGTGAATGAAGCTGTTATTTTTTCAAAGAGTATCTGTCTGTCCAAAATTTATTTTAACACACTGTGGGCACGAAGCTAGATGAGAGAATGTATATATTCCCTTAAAAGTGTTTACTTAACCACAATAAAAGGTTATGTGGATTTCCCAAGTGCTCTGAGTTACAGTACCTGTTATAATGTGAACATTTAAACACTCCTTCAACTTGGCTTCCACTCATGTATCACGTTTGACACAACAGTCAAAGGTCTTTTGTCTAGCACTAGCTCAGGAGGAATGGAAGGCTCTGCAGTAGCACATGAATGGGAAACACTAAAATAAAAATAAGGGGAGAAGGGAAAAAAGGGAGAAGAAAACGTAGATGCAGGTAGGTCTACAGTGAAGTCTATTTCAGAAGTGTGCCTTCAGTGGCACATACACCTGAAGTAATCCATGTTCACACCAGTCTGAAAATAACTGTTCTGCAATTGGCAATGCGACTTTCTGGCATCTTCTGGGATGGGTATCAAGTACCATGGGGAACCCCTGTTCCCAAAACATGTTTCCAGCTGGATGCTTCTCTCAAAGTCAATGAAACAAACTAAATTCTGGTTGGGGCACCTGTGTGTGGGCACAGATAGCAGCGGGATGCTTTTCACTACTAAGCACCTTGGAGATGTTTCTGGGAGTGTAAGTTTCTTACTGACAATAGGACAGGGCTGCTACAAAACCCCAAATGAGGAGTGGGAAAAAAAAAAAAAAAAAAAGAAACCCAAACAAAAACCAAACAATACAAGAAAAGCATCTACTAAGGATTGGGACTTTTCTTCTTCTTAAGAAGACTTCAGAATATGGTTGAATGACTATGCATAGATTTCTGTGGGAAGCAATGGGATAATTTTTTTGCACAGTAAAATATATTTTACTTATAAGGATGTTTAATATTATAAAAGAATTTAGGACTATATGTAGACATCAAAGCCTCGGAACTTGGTGTTTCTTCTTTCCTGGCTAGAAGGTTTTGGAAGCATTTTATCCAGAGAAAACATCAGACACAGAAGTTCTGTGGAATTTAGGTTGTCTAAATATAGGCTTTTTCATATGAATTATTAAGTAGGAGTAGAGGACAATACTCTTCTCTACATAAAGAACCATACACTTTTAATTACATTTTCATTTAATCTAGATGTAAACTGATGTTTGTCTGTGAAAGCAGGACAGTAATTTAGCTTTTACACTGAAATATTGCAAAAAAGCCCCTGATCTAATTATAGAATCAAAGAGTTTGAAAAAACTAAACATCTTAGGGCATGCACTTCTCCCAAACATTTCTTAAAAATGTTTTTAAATACAGCAATCATGCTGCTAGAAGGAATTAAAAAAAAAAAAAAAAAAAAAAAGAAAAAAAGAGAAAGGTTTGCTTTCCCCATCTATTGAACAGAGCTAAAAGTTAATACTATGTCATTTCAACTGGACATATTTTCCACCTCAGGCTATTACATTACACACTCGGTAATGCAGTCTGAGGGTGGTCTCTTAAAGATAAATGTGGCAATACCGTGATATGTTTATTCAGTGGAAAAATCTATCTCAGCATCTAATTAGAAGTCTTTAAAAGATATACTCTGATAGTTTCTTTCTAAGATATGTCTTGAAGGGAGTTGCTGTCGTCTATATAGATGTTATCCAAAACTTGCATTTTAGTTTATGTAAAGTTTCACAAATTACATTTTGTTTTTCTCGCACTTACTGTCTTCTTATGGCATACATTTGGCAAATACTGAATCTCTTTAATTAGGAAAGTGTTAAATGACTATCTGAAAGGCACAGTCCATTGTTGCAAGATTTTAAAGAGATTTCCTCCTCCTTGACTCTTGATTTAGTTGCTGTGTGAGTAGCTATAGCAGTTCAGGTAGGGTAGAATAGATTTTTAGGCTCTGATTCAAGAATTAGCTGTCAAAAACTTAAATTTGAGTTATGAAAGACTTTACTTTCTCCCTTTTCTTGCTGATCAGATGATAAGCTAGTTTACATTTGTCAACAGAGGAGTCTATTCATATATACTCATATGTTTTCATTTTCATGCTGTATGGTGGGCAAAGAAGGAGGTATTGCCTGCATGCTGTCCATCCACATGAAATCCATAAACATGAAAAGCAGCATCTGGATGATATGCAGTAGAGAATTCATGAATTTGAAATGTAGATTGCAGAAAATGACTTGCTGAAAAAGAAATAGCTTCACTAGTCTTGAAATGCATAATCTACATCTGATTAAGTTGACAACTGCATGATCAAACTGAGCATGGACACGGGGGTTTCACAAGATATCATGAAAGAGAAACATGACACTAATTGCTCTCAATTCATATGGTGTAGAGACTGAGACAATTCTAAGGAAATAAACCAATCATTTGCATGATACGGTAAGTGTTAAGAGATTACCTAACCCCAAACAAAAAGTAAAGTTATTCTCTTCCATAAAAAAAGAAACCCACAAAGTTAGATTATGTCACCCAGGCAAGATGCCCTGCTACTTCGTGGACATAAAGATCTCCCAGGTTCGCTACAGAAAACAACTTGGTTCTTTTTTTTTTTGTCTTTTTTTCCCTTTGTTACTCTATCCCACTAAATTCTTTTAAGTTTTGGGTTTAGTTATTGTCCTTTTTCAGATGATATAACAGTGAGAACAGCTAACAACAATGATCTCTGCTGTATTTCCAACATATTAATTTCTTGGAACCAAAACTGAAGGTGAAGAATGCTCTTGCTTACTGTTTCTTTGTTAAGAAAACATACCCACAGAAAGGCACAAGGCCAGACAGAAGAGTAATTTACCTCTTGATTTTCTCCCATGAATATATGCCTTTCCAAGGAGTTGCCACGTTGGCCTGTACAAGTCTTCCAAATCCAGTTGCCACCGATCTGGTTCAAGGTACCGGATAAGTTCTTCCACAGTACTAAATCCAGCAACAGCATTGTTTAATACATCTAGCGGTAAAGCTGATGGGGGTAGCAATGATGGGCTGGGTGCTTCTGTGTGGTGCTGCAATCAAAGCCAAGAGAAGAGTACCAGTCAGAGGGTTAATGGATCTGCTTTGATGAAGTGCTGCACTTTATGAAGTTACATATCTGGGAAAGTTTATAAGTGGCTAGCTTTTTTCCAGTGTACAGTTTACCTAATAAGACAAATGACAAGAGTCAAAAAGTACCTAATTACTCTTCAGCGATAATTGTAAACAAACTTCCACCAGACAGAGCTTTCCCACTTCTTACATTCCTAGACTTGAAGATAGCATGCCACTATACCTGTTCTTTGAAGAAGTTCACTGAGTGATGGACAAGATTTTAGAAATAGAACAAAGAGTGATTTGAAAATATGGCTCCATCACAGGCAATTAGTGTAAACCTCTAGAAACCTGAGGAAACACACATTTCACATGCTGAGTTTCCTCTGAAACTTAGCCACAACCTTTGTCCTCTTGTCTTTCAATGTAAAATATGAACATACCCTAGTACAAAGATAGCAAATATTCCTGCTCTCATCTATAGATGAAAAAAAGCACCAGTTGTGTTTCTATACAGTACTAAGAATTATGTTTTTGGTTAAACAATAATGAACAGAGTAATAACAACATCTGGAATGACTATAATTATTTCTTCCTTAAGGAGAAAAAAAAAAAAATGTTCCCAAGGATATCAAAAGTAGTTAAATGGTGAAATTGAGTACTGAAAAAGCCTATGTACATTCCGACAGCACAAATCTCACTGACAAACTCACTGGATCGGGGTACTCAGTCACAGGCAATTCAAGCAAAGTGAGACTTCTGGTTTTGCTCACTACAATCTGTTTAAAAATTATGCATTGATTTGTATTTTCAAAAGAATAAAAAAAGGCAGGAAGAGAAGGGAAGCCTGAAGCAGGAAGCTGCTGCTGCACCACCATAAGTTTCTTTAGGCTTTTATATAGGCAGACATCATGACAGACATTATGTCCACAGTGCTACATAAGAGCAATTTATCTGCACCATGTAAGAAGGATGAGGAAAGATTTTAACATTCCCTTGATTTAGGGGATTGGAAGGACAAGAAATCTTGAATTTAAATGTGTAGTGCTACGTGTGTCACTGCTCTCAAGTGTAGTCCATGTAAGATTCAGGGAAAATTTATTCACTCTAAGTACAGTCAGGTTTTGGAAAAGGTTGCCCAGCGAGGCTGCACAGTATCCATCATTGGAGGCTTTCAACACCTGACTGGGTAAAGCCCTGAGCAATAGTCTGACCTCAGAACTAAACCTACCCTGAGCAGGAGGCTGAACTAGAGACCTACTGAGGTCCCTTGCTGTATTCTCCTACAACATAATATTGAGACTGAAGGACTGAACGTTCCTCCAGTAAGTGAACTAGCATGCTTGTTGTCCCTTCCCTGTGCAGTGCTTGTTTCTGCTGCACAGCATTTACATATATATATTTATTTATATGAATTTATTTATACTTAAAAATCCTCATATCACTTAGTGCCAAAATGGTACTCTCAGTACTCTAATGTGAAGTGCATACATATTGTAATTTTTTCATCTATAATGTCAAATCAATTGTATTAATTTACCTTTTCAAAATGATCAGAGAAATTGATGAGAAATGTAAGTTATAGAGTAAACATTATTTAATAAAATAATCCTTGCGACACTACACACTAAACAGCAGTTTTCTAAAATTAGTATGACTGTGATAGCTGTATTTCATACCTATAATTATATTTTCATTTCTGTGTTCTCAATTCTATTAAATATGCATTTTTGGTTTCAGCTAAATGTGTGGTTGAAAGGGCAGCAAATGGAAGTAACCACCATGCCCGTCCTATTTTTTGCTTCAAGGTTTTTTCTCTCTCCATCTTCAAGAAATGCAGTCACTAGAATGATTTGTGCTGCTTTTTAACTGGGAGTCTTGCAAAGATAATACAAAACATAGATCTAGCATGTTGCTACTATTAACTTTACCATATTTACATCTTGCTAATTTAGCATCATTTCCAATAGAGTGAGTGAAATAGCTTCTTCCCATTCTGGATGAATGTAGATTTCAAAAAGTTAAAATATTTCATTTCCTCTTCTCTCCAATGCCCACATTAAAAATAATAACATGTTGATCCATCTATTAGGTTATGATAATAAAGCAACAGATTCTGGTCTATAATTTAAATATTTGCTCTTAGCAAAATATGCTACTCAGCAAGTTTCAGAATAGTGCTATGACACTGTAATTCAGATGGTCAAAAAAATAAATATTCCAAAATTTTCCTTCCTGTTTTTCTTCATGATGATGTATTTGTAACAGTCACATTTCCCGGTTTCAACATGTAAGGTTTTGCTAAGGTGAAAAGCAAAATAAGGATCAAATGGTAGAACTAGCACCTGAAATAAAAAATAAAAAATAAAAAAAACAACCCCTAAAACCACAAAAATCTTCTATTTTGTTTCCAGCTGAAGAATTTACTTTGCTATCTGACTTCTACAGCAGTTTTTTTTGTTGTTGCCAATGAAATAGATGAATTCCAGGTGAAAATCTATTGGTCTAGAATCTGTTTCCACATTTTCAACTTCAGACGTGCACCCTTAGTAATACATATACAGGAACTAATCCATCAATTTATGTTATTCTGGATTCAGTAGGCATTTGCCTGAGTTAAAATGTTATAAGGATATGGTGAATCATTGCACTTAATGGTAACACAATTAAAGTTGTCATCACTTTCTAATTATTCTCACAACAAACCAAAACGTAAAGAGAAAGTAACTGAAACAGCAAAATTGCACAACTCTGAAGATGAATGTTTCAGAGTAAAGTAGTTAAAATCTCAAGATTAAAAATGTTATTCCCAATAATCTCTTAATTTAGTCAATTTAAGTGACAGTTAAAATGTACCAAAGATGAAAGATAACTGATATCATAAAGCTATAAATGCTGTAATTTATATTTATAACATAACATTTATGAAATCTCAATTCAATAAGTTGTTTAATATAAACAGTAATTCAAATTATACTCTGCGTTGCTATTACTTGCTAATAGGTACTACTTATTTTATAAGTTAAATCTTTTGGACAGAACGTCCAGGGCAGCATAAATGGCACTCCTTCCTTTGACTAAAATTCTATCTTGGCATTTTATATAATTTATAATTTCACTCAATTTTCTCAAAGTTGGTTTTTTTCATGTTCTATAGGCAATGTTTATACCTGCAGTAAGGTTTCACTTTCAGAGGAGGTCACAGGAAAAAAGACGTAACTCAAGAAATTAACACTCAACTTCATTGATGGGACGTACCTTTTAGAACAAGCTAATACAAAACTTCAGCATAACTCTGAAATGTAGCATCATCGTTGCAACTTCAAAATACTGAAATGCTCCTTCAATGGAGCTTTTCATCACTTTATAGCAAGCCCGTCACTTTATAGCAAGTATAACATTATATATTGTTATATAACTTCCACTGTAATTCCATCCACTTAAATAATCTCAGATAAAAATCCGCGTGCCTAGAATTTAAACTATGTCTCTCTTGACATCCGCATTCTGACCCTTGCCTCCACCTGCATGCCTGACACAAACGGGTGTTCTCGAGTCGCTCTCTGGGCCGTGCTACCGACATCCGTGCTCAGTAGGTCTGAGAGGTGCAATTTCACTGCAGAATGGTGGTGTGAAAGCCTCCCAGGAGAACCACCCATAAGCTCTATCCGCTTTGCTGCCCAGTGCTGACGGAGACAGCAAAGATGACCTTACAACCAAGGAGCTATCTGTCAACTGCACATCTATTCTATAGCTGGCATCACCTCACTTACTCCACAGAACTGTATCACATCTGCCCTGGCAGGTCAGCTAGCACATAATCAACCTTTGATATAACAGTCATCTCTTTATCTGAGAGGGGAGACATAACCCAAGACAGAAGACACTTGCTTAGGTATCACAGCTATCCAAAATAGCTTTCCTGATGGAGACCACTTACTGGGAAGTGACGTTCTCCAAGCTTTTCTACAATAAATACTGACAGTAAACACCTTTTCTGTCATAGCAGCACATCCTCAATTAATACGAATGTTTTAGGCTTGAGACCACCTTTTTTAATTGTTTTGTCCGAGCATGAATAATTTCTGTCAAGACAGATTTGAAAAATACATCAAGTTCTGTATTTTAACGTGATTCTGGTAGCAAACAAAACACTCTCTGGTTTTTGTTTTTGTGCCCAGGAAATGGTTTCAATTTACTTTAATAAGAATAAACATGTTTAAAACCAAGATAGAGCCAAACAGTTGCATCTTTACTGTTACTTAAAATGATTCAGGATGAAAACCAGAGCAGAAAACACAGGGCTTCTGCTGCCCTGTAGAACGCCCAAGAATGACAATTAGCACTGGATCGAACAGAATTTTCATTAGGCCTGTTTATATTGTATTTCTGCATGTTTACTTCACTCTATCAAAACAAATACCTTCTAGAAATTCCCTAAGGTGTTTACAAGTGTAAAAGACAAGCAAATACACCAAATTTAGGCAACAGTTTAAGATATGGGCTTGGAAAAAAGGAAGGAAATCATGTAAAGACTAACTTCACAAAACTGTCCGGCCCTGAAGATTATACATCACACAGAAAAAACTTACAGAGTAAACTGCATTTTAGGGTGCTCACAGTGTTAGTTGTGCCCTATTAAAGGAATTCCATCTTGCCTCTTTCTCAAAGGGGAAAGGGTAGGGCATTCTTATAAGTAGATTAAGCAGGTGACCATCAGTGAAGCTGTAAATCTGAACAAAAACTGCAACAAATGAATTTGAAATTACCTAGTTGAAGCTCAGACCTAAAGGATGATTTAATATGTAGCCTGACTGGAAGACTTATGATTAATTTCTTGCTCTGACACATATTTCCTGTGTGATCCCGGGCACAGTATTTAGGCCACAGCTTCATGGTGTAAAGCATCTGGCAACAGCATCTCCTTGCTATGCCAGCATGACTGTGTATGTGGCTGCATCATAAACAGAAAGTGATC